AATCACGACTCAACTAGAAAAATAGGTGAGCCATTATTTACGGCTCGCTATATGTACCTTAAGGAAGTCAATTTGATGGTTAAGGCATTATGACCTAGAGAAAAAAAAAAAAAGCATCTCCTTTTTAAAAACCGAAAGTCCTAAACTCCAGTACTCCTTCCTTAACTAACTGTCAAAAGAGCAGAAATCTTTGCTTTGATTGTTTGGACATGGGAACAATGAGATGTTATTTTGGGTTTAAACAAGGTAATAGAAAACAAGAAATGATAAAAATCAATGGTTTTTTCCTATTGGAAGAAGGAAAATTAAATCAAATATAGCCGCAACCGTTTGCTGGGGTTGGATGTCATGATAATTAACCAATTCCATACTAGGGATTTGTGAGAAGAGAGTTCATTTGGTAGGCAAAAGTCATGCCCATAAGCCTTGACAAAATTGAAAGGACAGGCAACTGGGAGAGAGATTCTCTTCTCATGGTTATGACTTGTGTATTTGGCAAGCCATAACTTGCCAAAAGCTGAGCGGCCCGAATTTATTTTAAGGGCAAACAGCATGTAGTTTACGCTTCAAGATGACATCTCTTGTCATCCTGACATGCGAGAAAACCCACCTGACTATAGGGCTACGTCTCACCCTTTAACCACTTAAGGAGAAGATGGTGCGAATACTGTCTGTCTAGATAGCATCGCTTGGAGATGAATTGATAAGTCGAAAGTGTTGGTCAGCTGTCTTTGATTGGCCCATTATCCACCAGCTATGGTTACTTCAGAAACCACAACTTTGTCTTTTTCGCTTGTAATTTCCACTTCAATGTCATAATTAACAAGGAATTTATTGGCTTTAATCTCTCATGAAGATTATTTGTGTGGGAAAAGTCCGGGAAAAAAGTTGTGCGCAAATTGAATGCTTCCTACTACGGTTGGGTCAAGATATTTGGTCACTAGGTTGTCAGGGAGGTATTAAATATCAAAACCCTTCTTAAGGTTTTCCGCACAAACAGATGTTGCGAGCAACACATTTACTCCACGAACAGGACAAATTTTCTGAATTCAGCGAAATGCATGAAAAATACTTCAACAGAAATTTGTGCTGGCGGCGACTGCTGAGACCAAGTTTTTAGTCTTTATGGGCGATATTTTGTAGTTTTTACACCAATGCAAAAGAGAACAAAATACACTGAAAGGTGATTTTTGATATCTTATAATATAATCACGAATGTAATAATTAAAAAGATAATATTACAACGTTTGATTTATTAAAAAAATATTAAAAAATTTAGTTCACAAGTCATGAATGTAATGTTAATTTTTAAAATTATGTATAAAAATGTAAATTTAATATACTTATATGTTTTTTTATTTGTAAATTGTAATATGATATCATCATTTTTAAATTAATTTTTAATCTTATAGATTTTATCTTTATTTCTTATTATAATTTCATATATTTTAAAACACTATTAAATAGCTTAATATTATCACATTCCATAATACATAGTATATGTTAAAATTCCATCAGGTTTAATTCTTAGTCAATCTAATATATATGTTTTTATAAAGGCATCCAGATAACTATCATTACTGAAAATTAATTACAAAACATTACCAGCAAACAACCCCTCCTTCACATTATCAATCCTACTTATTACATATCCCCTGCCTGTGTTCATCAGACATGGCTTCGCAAGCACCCACCAACCACATGGCATGAAGCACAAAAACCAATGAGCTGTCCAGTCCATAACATGACCATTTCAGAATACCGCCTAGAGCCCGCATTTTAAATCCACCCAGACAAAAACCCAGCAAGTTTTCCAATCCTTTGCCAACTTCAAGCTAGAAGAAGAAGAACCAGAAGGAGGAAGAAGAAACGCAAAACGGGTAGGATTATGTTAAAGGGGATTGCTTTTGTAGTCTCTTTTCACAGTTTCTTTCTTATTTTGTGTTTTTTGATCAGTTGATGTTTCGTGTTGGTCAATACCAATTTGTAAGTTGATTACTTTGATCGTCTTCCACAACAAGTAAGTGGTTTGGATTAAGGATTAAACCACAACAAATTGACATCAGAGCAAACTTTTTCAAAAGCACGTAGTTTTGTTGTTCGTCATCGCTTTCAATAATGCTGGTGGCCGCAAGAGTTTGGCGGCGGGAGTGACGATAAAGGCAGGCTGATGTCAAGAATTTCGATGGCAAAAATGATTTTAGCCTTTGGCGTGTGAATATGGGAGTGATTTTTCTACACCAAGAACTGATGTATGTGTTTAAAAGGCAAAAGTAAGCGGCCGGCGATGTAGCTGCGTCTATCAGAAGAGGTTCTTCGGGAGGCAGTGGGTGAAACGACTCACCATGGCTTATGGAAAAAGCTGGAAGATATTTGTTTGACCAAATCCTTCCCTAATCGGCTTTATCTAAAGCAGAGCGTATATAGGTTTCAAATGAATAAAAGATACATCTGCGAAAGACCATTTTAATTAAGTTGAATAAAGTCATTTTAAATTTGAGGAATATTGAGAATGAAGATCAAGCTATTTTACTCGTGTTTTTTTGTCACTTTTATATGAACTCTTTGTTGTCATCAAGGCGGCTCAATAATTTCAAAATTTTAAAATAAAATATTTAAATCAGACTTTTTTATTTAAATTAAGAAAGAAAAAATTTTAAACTTTGAATAATCAAATTCATATTTTTGATTTGATATATTCAAATATTTATTATAAAATATTAAAATATTTAATTATTATAATTATTTTATATTTTTTAAATAGTTAATATAAAATCAACAATCAAAATTTTTAATTCAAATAAATTAACTATTGTATAAAATAAAGACAACATAATAATATAATATAAACTCTAAATTAAAGTGAAAAAACCTATAAAGATTAAAACAATAGTCCTAATTGTTAAATACTTATTACAAATCGTAAATTAAGCTCATAGCTCTATTAAGATAACAGCATGATAAAATTCATGTATATTCTTTAGAGAAAATATGAAATTAAAAAAAATAACAAATGATGGGAAAAAATTCAAAAGTAGATATTAAAAATTAAAAAAAAATAATTAAAAAGTGATAAAATATTTAAGATTTATTAGATACATAATTAAAGAAATGAGAGAATATGTTATTTTATTAATTATTTTTTACTTTTATATATTTTGAATAGAAAATGAGATAATTAATTCATAAAAATATGAGGTTTTTTCTTTTCAAATTATTTATTAAATATCACAGAATAAATAAATAAATATTTTACTAATTATTATAATTTTTATATATTTTTAATATAATTAATTATATTATTATCATAAAAATATGAGGTTTTTTCAAATTTGAGACCCAGGGCACTTACTTGGGTGCCTTAGCCAAAGGCCAGTCCTGGTTTTCATTGTATTGTATAGGAAAACTTGGACTTCCTTATAGGATGCCAAAACTTCTTTCTACTCGAAAGAGTTTAAAAACAAGGACAATAATGTTAGCGATGGCCATGGGCAGTAATGCAAGGGAAGATTAGGAACGAGTGGTGATCGAGGTTGAGACTAAATGTAAGTTCTATTCAAAAGGGGAGGTTACGTGCTTCAAGTGTGGATCTTTTCAAAAGTGACCCTTGCAGGCCTTGCATATGTAGTTTTCATTATCTTATTTTTACGTGTTACTTAATCGTAACATTAGTTCATTTTTTTTATTAAAAGTATTTATGACATTAATAACTTTTAAATTTAAGGATGAGAAGTTCTTTTTCTTCCGTCATCTTTGAAAATTATCACCACTAAACTAATTTAATTTTATAAAATCAAAAGTCAATTCTCTTAATGTTTCACTTGTAACAGTCATTATTAATATAAAATTACACAAAACACATAGAGTAATAAAATGATTTCAAAACATGTATATATAGTATCATCTTAAGATTTTACTCACCCCATTAATAATATACAAAAAAATTACAGAAGATAAATTCTAAGAATATAATGATATCCAATGATTGATTGTGTTTTGTATTTACAAAATTAATTTATTTAATATTCACTAGTATATAGCAAAATTGTCAAAATTTTATAATTTTTTTTAAATAAAATAGCATAGAAAAACATCAAAAAAATATGGGAAAATAAAATATTATTAATATTAGTTGGGTATAGTGCAATTAGTTGAGTCGAAGAAAATAAGGAATATCCGTCTTCTGCCATGATTGAACGCGGTTGGCCTGATCATGGCGGGATCACATAGAACTGGTTAATGTAAATATGACACTGACACCTAGCAGTTGCAGGTCCTTCTCAGCCTTTGAATACAGCTTTTATAAGCAGTTCGCATTAGTTAGCAGTAAAATCAAATCCAAGAAGGTGGGTTTTGCCCGCTCTGTACCCTCCTTGTAACTGATATGTTTTTTCAACTTTTATGGCTGATGGCCTTGTCCCTTTGCGGCTACTGAATGTGTTGCAATCCACATTTCTCCTCCTGCAAAATGATGAAGATTGGAGATATCTATTACATCACCAATAAGTTCATTTAATTTATGGGATTGCCTTCTTTTCTGTGTAAGAAAAGGAGAAAAGGCGAGTTTGATTTTTCATGGCAATTATTAATATCTTGGTACCCACCTGGCTCAATGATTGATATCTTGCAGAGTTTATGGATAGAGGAAAAGGTGTTTGAAAAGGATTAATTGATCGATCCCAATGAGAAGTGTGAGGTTTAAGACTTCAAACATTCGCTTTCAATATTATTTTTACCTTCAGGTCACATGAGCATATGTATGCTTAAATGATTAGGCATTTTTTATGTGCAAATTTATTTCTTCTTTTTTTTTTTTATCGCCTGATTGGAAATAAGGCAATTGGAGAAAATATATGCTCCTAGAGACTGCATTTTCTCATAGTTCAATCACAAAGCTAATTTTCTTTGACACCATTAAGTTTTTATGTCGAAGGGCCTCTTCAGGCTCTCTAATTATTCCAATATGGTATTAATTCTTACTTTCGATATGCGAACATGACTGAAAGAAACAATACAGACGCCCATTTAACTAAGAACCGCACAGCACATAACCTATATGACTCAGACTCTAGCTGATCTGAGGTTATTTTTGTTCTTGAATTTAGGAACACTACTGGCATAAGGCCTTAGAAACGAATGCAAGTATACATCTGGACACAGAGTTGCAGCCTCATGGTCTTAATGTTCGTAGCAGCATAATCCATCCTCCAGTTAGGAAATGAACTATTATGGTACTTGCTTCTTCACCAACACTAAATTCCCCAGACATTAAGTCAAAGCATCAACAAAAGAACCTGGAAAATATGTCTTAGCTGTACTCGACAGAACAAATCCTCTGACTGCTTAAATCTGCATTAGTTCTTCAAAGATATTCATTGCAGAAGCTGGCAATCCCAAAAGCAAATTAATGCTTTTCTTAACTTTCTGATGAGGCAGGAAAAGAATAACTGGCTTTTCTGGCAAAGCTACTGGGCCCGAAGAAATAGTGTCTCCCCACCCAAAGTCTATTGTGTGGAAAGATAGCTTGGCCCAACTTGTAAGCAGAACAGTTCCAGCCAAAGAAGGCCTTGCTCTTGTTACTTCAAAATAGTCAATGGCCGATCGCATATAGCTGTCTGTAGCCAATCCAACCGCCTGTTGAATTAATCCCACCGCGAAGGACAACGGCTTCTCAATTAACTCGCCAGCAGTAACTATTGAGTTCGTTAACACAATCCCGTTACCAGCGTAGCCTTGAGGTAATGGAGGGATAAATCTTTTCCGTCCATCAACAGCAAAGAGGAGCTTAGTCAGTTGCTCGGGCAGCAAGTTTAATGCTTGGCACCGAGCTCTCCAGGCAAAGCCTGCTAGGACTTCAAATGTTGTGCACTGGGATACAACTCCATCTTCCGTGGCTTTTTCCTTGAGCTGTCTGTGCTTTTCTGGGTCAAAAAGGAATGACCTATAGAGCATTTCTTCTTCTTCATAGAGCTTGCTTGTGTTTGATATATCTTCAATCTCATCAAATTCGTGGTGTGAAAATTCTATTTTAGGTGGGATGCGGGCTTTCAGTATGCCTCTATCTAAAAATGGAGGGATCTTTAAGGGCAAGCCTCCGGCAACTTCACCCCACCCGTTCACGAATTCCATAGCACTAATTCCATCCAGCATACAATGGTTCATGCTCAGCCCAAGAGCAAATCCTCCACACTTGAATTTAGTCACCTGGATAGGCAAAAGTATGATCACTTACTTTTCTTGAAAGAATGGAACCGGTTTTATTCGGAAAAAGAAGGATATAAAAGTTCAAATAGCACTAGCTTTTATATAGTCTAGAGAACGCAGGAAGGGAGTAATATAAAAAAAAAAAAAAACAAAGCATGCAATTAAAAGAACTCAAAGAGGAGCACTTGGTCTTAACTCAAATGGTGCTACAATAAAAAAATAAATAAATAACTCAAAAATAAGATACTTTCAACAACTACTTAAGACAAAAGAGCCCAGGACCAAATGGATGTTGAAAGTACTATTCAATCGATCAGCTTCTGTCTCTGTCCCTCTTCTTTTCCCTACTTCTCCCAAATACTTAAAGGCACTTCAGATGAGACAAAGTACAGCACACATCACTATTAAAATTAATAAGTTTTACATACCAAACCGAAGGATCACTTGGACATGCAAGATAGACAACAAACAGAAGAGTCATGGAATTTTCAAACCTGAATCACCAAAAGAGGTATCTCAAGTAAATTTTGAGCACCAGGAATCTCATAAACCAACTTTCCAAGAGTAACAGGATCAGGCTTTGTTATGTCTCCAATGTCCTCTAGCCCACAATTAGCTTCAGCCTCAACGAAGACAGCGCCCTCCTCAGTGCAGTCCACTATGAGCTTTCCTTCCGAGCTGATTGTTAGTCGCCCAGCAAGTGGATAATGGTAAACAAGGATCTTTGACAACCCATTCTTTACTACTTCCACAGCATCCTCATTTCCTCTGGACTCCGACCTAAAGAAGTAAACAGTACGAACGATCACTGCAATGTTTTGGTCAAGGTTTGAGAGGTAGTAGAGACCCTTCTCTCTCTCTTCTGCTGGAAGAACCCGACTTGGTTCTCCTTGCTTAACGCTAAATTCAAAGGTACCATCGCTAACATCCGCCATTTGAATATGCTCCTCAGAAACCAAACCTAATCACAACTGAAAGAAAGCTGACGTTGTCATAAAAGTTAAGCAAAAAATAATAAAAAGAACTGTCACAAGTTGCCCTTCTAGTTGTATCGTTGCTTGCAATCAAGTGGGACATGAATGGCTTAAAAAGCTTCTTGAGTGTATGACAGAAATCACACAACAAACAGACCATGAGCAATTTAGTTGATATATTGAGTTAGAATCAAATTAATTACTGAAAACATACCTGAGAACCGAAATTAAGGACTATGAAGCAGCAATGCAACTGATATTTGCATGTTCCTTTGCTTTGCAGTGGAAGTTATATAGGAAAAGCGTGAGCAGACAATGTTGACAAAGTCTTACGATATGAAAGGGACAGTTGCTAATGGCAGTGGAGAAATGGTTCATACGAGTCAAGTCCCTAGAATTGAAGAAACTCATTAAAAGAGAGAAAGACAGAAAGATCTACATATCCCTGGATTCCATTTTGGACATGGAACTTTTTTACAGACTGAACTAAAGACATTTGAGATGTGGTAGGCCACTGGTCCATACACCAAAACATTACCAGCCAGGAAGTCTGGCGTGAGAGGGAAGAGAGACCACGGGGTTGGTTGGTTTTGTTGGCTTCCATTAGTAGGTCACTTGATGAAATTTTATCACTGAATTTACATCTTGATCTAACTAAAATTTAAGAGTGAAAATCACATGCCGGTTTCCTTAATTTCCTGCTCGACTCTATACGTTATTGCAAATCAAGAGATACGTGTTATGATCATGATCAGACTATGGGATTTCAGTGCGTATTATAGCCAATAAACCATAACACACGAAAACCTCCATCCTTTGCCCAAGCCGCCCTTCCAAAATCATCAATAATGCATGGTTCCTTGATGAATAGCCTTTCCCATATAATAAAGTTTCAAAAACAAATGCACCGATTTAATCAAAGTCATGAATAATCTTAGCGGGGGGCAAGCAACATCAGAAGGTTATATCTTTGCATCTGCTTGTCAAGAAATGGCATGTGGGGAATGTTGATGTTCTAGCTTGCAAGAAACAGAACTTTATGTGACGCTTATCCTTTGGATTTGCTTGCATTGCATAGAATCCATTAATCTAATACTGGAAACAAATTTTAAATGCTTGTTAGTTCAAATACTTCAATCAGAACTTTTAAGTAGAAAAGTTTCATAGTCTTTAATCAAAATCTTCTCCTGTTTAACAAGTATTTTTTAAACAGTAAAGGCCAAGTCAAAAGGACTACGGTGCATACCTCTCAAGAAAATTCAATCCTTAAATTGCAGCAAGCAAACTTTTACTAAAAAACAATTAATGTTCACTAGGAGAAACCTGGAAATCTTAATTAGATTTAAGTATATATTCTGATCGCACCAAATTAGACTGCCAACTTCGGGTATCAAATTGAGGAGGAATTAAAAATGATATCATTCAGAAAGACTCTGTCCTCTCGCCAAACAGATAAGGAGCACAGAAGAGTAAGCTTTGCAGGGACGAACAGGTGAGACAATGCAGACATGCAATGCACAAGTTCAGTCTCTAATAAAACTGCCTCCATTAATTTTAATGACCTTTCAAACGGCTTGTTCGGACGAAATCGCCAACACAGAATCTCACAACCGACATGCATCAACAATTGTGACATAATTTTGTAAAAGGCATATACCCTACGGGGCCTATTCCAGCATCATAACTAAATCTCCAAGCATATATGATAAATCACTGTACATCTCTTAATAGGCAACAGCAAACATGAGATCTTTCTTATAGCTAAATCTGTTGCTTCAATCTTTTGTCCTGAGCTGCCGGCTGCTGGAGATGACACAGCTTTTTCCGTTCCTTGTCAAATTGGCGTTACTCTTATTGGTTATCAACATGACACCATTCAATTGCTGCTGCAGAATTTTATGCTACAATCCTCTCTTTGTCACTACTTGAACTGAAATTAGAGAAGAGTTGGAAGGATTCGATTTCCACTAAAGAATGCCAATTTGGGGAATAGATTGCACTGCTTGTATTTTTCCCCGCCAAAATGCAGCTAGTGAAAGTGGAGATCCTCCATTAGGAATTGTAGTAAGAGTTATGAGAAAAGGCTACCCTTGCTCTGAGTTACCATGGACGATTGATCATGATATACGAGGAATAAATTTAGATCATCAATGCTTGGATGAGTCGCAGTGGATCAATGCTCCGTTCCTCTTAAAAATGCCATGGCATCTGGGTGGAGGAAGAACGTAAGTTTTTATGCTTGCACTTATTTCTGATTAAAACAAAACTGATTCATCCAAAAAGTCTGACAAATCTTGTAAACTGCACCAAATTTACTACAAGAAAAGCATTCACTGGTCAATTCTAACTAAACAGTTAAATACAGCTTAAAAATATTTCAACAAAAAAATAAACCTAGAAAGGGGGACGACGCCAGAAAACAAAAAACTAAAAAAATGTAAATTGAGGCCAGGCCAGGCCAGCAACAAGGTACTACAAAAGAGTCACTAACTCATATGGTACAATCCCACCTATTGAACATCTAAAATGACTACTCCAATTTATAATTTCTGCGAATTACAAATGAAATCCCACAGGGGGAGATAAATTACCGATGGCTGCACATATCTCACATGTTCTACATGATCATATGATCCCTTAAGTGAACTAATCATCATCATCCCCATCCCCATCTTTACCAGCTTCTCCACCTGTATCAGCATTCTCCTCACTTTCCTCCCCTTCCTCATCCTCATCAGACATGTTATTTATCACATCAGTAATAATATCCTTCACCTCAGCTTTCCTGTGCATCAAATCCAGATCAAAGTGCGCACCTGACATAAACCAAATCTCACAATTAGTCAAATCTAAATATCAAATATTCTAACCTAAATAACTAGAGGTAATCATACCAAGTTGCCGAAGAATATCAGATAATGTTGCCTGCATCACAAACAGGAAAAATTTTAGCACTCTAGTATTCATTTTAATCATTTCCATCTCCAACATATGGAAAAAAAGACAGTACTTACAGTGTTGAAGTCCACTTCTTTTAGAATATCTACCACTACATCATGAATCTCTTCTCTGGTAGGCTCTGCTTTAGGCTTCTTGGAACTTTTGCCTCTACCTGTAATAGCAAATACTCAACACGTGAGCATCAAAATCAATAACACAAAACCACATAAAATATGCCTAGCCTAGAAACTCTTTTTATGGTATCCACACAAACAAATCCAAATCTGAGAGACATCTTCCAAACAAGCTTGAGTAGACATGCACAACAATAGCATAGATAGAGAAATCTACCTTGAGTCTTGGCAGAAACCTTTGCAGGTGACTTGTTTGTTTCCCTCTTGCCAGCAACCTTGTCCTTGGTGGAAAAGCTTCCATCCTTCAAGCTTTCCTTTTCAACTTTCTGTTTTTTTGACACAGAACCCTTTGATTTGGAGCCCGAAGTCCCATCAACATCACTAGAAACTTGTTTTGAAGTTGATCCAGAAGATCTTTTGCTAGGTTTTGAAGGACTTTTCACAGATTTTGCAGGTGTTACCTTCCTTCCAGATGTAGATTTATCCTTGCCTTTTGATTCTGGACTCTCCTTTGCAATCTTTTTTGAAGTGCTTTTGTTGCTTGACTTCTTGGGTTCATCTTCTTCCTCTGATTTAGTATCTTCATCATCACTCTCTTCTTTTGGTATAATGTCAGCATTGTCTTCATGAGAATCACCCTTAGTGTCAAGGGATTCAACTTTATCATCATCCTCATCTTCTTCCTCAGCTTTGGGTGAACGCTTACGCTTTTCCCCACCTTGGCTTGTTCTTCGCTTCTGTAGAGCGAAATTGGAAACCAAATAACAACTCAACCATTAAGCACTCTCAGCCACCAAAAATGTCATACAGATTAAACATGGATAGATACAAGGAAACAGACATATTGGAGAGAAAAGTTATCATTCTCTCACACTGCAGTTGCCATCCACATTATCAACACATCCTTATTTTAGACAGATATGTGAGACTGCAATCAATATTCCCCCAACAAAAACCAAATTAAGAACTTACTAAAACTACATTTATGAACAACACAGGTTGGGAACTTGGACAGTGGAAAGACCAATGGGATATAAACCTCAAACTGTTTGGCTGTAGCAAATGCATACATGCAACAACAAACTAAACCCTTATTTGGTCATTATTTCTACTTGCATTATGATTTCTTAAAAGTTTCTACAAGCAAACCTTCCATTCCAAAATGAAGGTTCAATTTCCAAACAGCACAAAGTTTCTAAAAGCAAAACAAATACTCCTTCCATTCTAATTGAATGTCCATTTTCAAAAACAAGGACATTGACAATGACTCTAAAGATAAACAGAAACAAAGGAAAGAACAAATCAATCAAACAAATTTTATGAAAGCCATGTAAACTGCTTCAGTATTCTCTTCAAAGTAGTTCCAAAATTTATGACAAAGAACTGATATAATGTGAAAATGCCATCTTCGTGCTTCCCAAATTGCAGTGACTAATCAGTTATCCTAAAGTATCCATGTCAGACACATACACAACAATGGAGTTCAGTATCATGTGGTAACCCTCCAAACATAGAAAAAACTTTGAAAAAACTAAACATGCTTCTCTTGGACACTTACAAGTGCCAACATCATGCTCAAAGTGCAATCAGCATAGTTAATTCTTATCAAAGTGAAATTCTGATCACAAACCTTAGAAAGATTACCATTAACAAATAATAAAATTCAGGAGAAAAAGATGCCACAGAGAAACTAATCACAATAACTAAAAGCCAAAGATAACACTTGCTGGGTACCAACAAAAACACATAGGAACCACAATCCATTAAAGATAACTCACAAAACATCATGTGAATGAATAAGGCATCTTTTGTACTGAATCCACAAATATTCAAGGAAAAATTTATATTAAAAAATCTCTTAAACTTGCAAATAAACCACCAAAATTTTTTCTAAACAGGATAAAATGGGATACAGAAGAATCAAAAACATGGTAACATGGAATGAGCACAAAACCAAAATGACACATTGACAAACTTCATGAATAAATCACAGAAAAAATTCTCCATGACCAGACAAAATCAGAAATCAATACATGATATAGAATGGTTATCACAACTCCATTAATAATACAAAACACAGAAATAAAAAATAGACAATACATACACAGGGACCACTAATAGTGGCAAGATAAAAAAGACTAAATTGGAATGCAAATTCAAGTCTTGAGAGCACCAACTTTGATCAGCCTAAATCAATTAATGACCCTTATGAAACTTCATTCTAATTGACAACACAACCAATTTTATCAACTTTAATATAGCAATAACAAATGATCAGTTTGATGATATCACATTAGCCTATTCTATAAAGAACCTTATAGGTGTGAAGAGCACTTTAGCACCCCAAGCATAAATCATTTGTAGTTATGGCTAACAAACACCAACATTAACCACATCACACTGATCAAAAGAATTTAACTCAAACACTGAAGAGGAGGCAAAAATCATGCACAATAAACAAATTTTAACAAAGATAAGATGGAATCAATAAAATTAAAAATACAAAATTGCAGTACAATACATTCAGAAACAAGTACTAGTCCATGATGAAGATGTATAATAAGTAGACAACAAAAAAATAAATATCAATATGGGTCACCAACAAAGAAGACAAACCTTGGCTGATGTATCTGATGCTTCCCCTGAACTGATGTTTTTACTTGGTGTAGCTTTACGCTTTTTACCTTTCTGAAACAAGATGAATAAGAATCCTGTTCACTCTCACCCTGACAGTTAACATGGCAAATATTCCATAACATGTAAAAGACTATGAAATAACATAGCACCTGTTCCTTGTCAGCAAGTAGAACATCAGTTGTAGCATGGGGAGATTCCAGAAATTCCAACAATTTGGCAGAGACTTCCTCCTGAAAAAACAAATGAGTTATTTTCCAAATAAACAAGTCAAATTACTACTCAAACAACATTACAAGTATATATTTCTTACTGACCTTTTTTACAGTGGCCCTCGTTATTGGAATATTCAGCAAATCACAGAAATCAACCAATTTTTCTTTAACACATTTGTCAAGTTTTTCCTTTACTTTGGATTTTTGTTTTTCCTGCTGAAAATATGAGACAATGGGCATTAAGAAGGTCTCACTTAATGAATAATAGCTTACACACAAAGTCAAGCATCATCTTCAATTAAACCTACTTTTACTAAATGCAATAAGAGAACCACCCAGGTCAGCAGCAGAAAAAAAAATGAATATTAGATCAAAGAAAATACCTCATTCTCAGCCCAAACAAAACCTGAAAATTGGCCAATGTTTCTCTTCAAACCGTGAGGCTGTAAAATTTTTTGAAAGAAGTATACAATTAGCACATAAAAAAGAATCATGAAACAACAAGACAAGATAACTTGACTACCTTTGCTTTCTTTCCAAAAAGTATCATATGAAGCATCTGCAGATTGTCATCAGGTTTTCTCTTCGACAACTTGAAAGCCACTGAAACAGTTTACAATATCAGAGAAAAAATAGGCCAGACTCTGCAGTAACAATAAAGTCGAACAAACACAAACAAGACTACATTAAATAAAATGCCATCACAACAACAGGACTAAAATCTGTTTGTCCTCCAAGACAATCTTGAGGGTCAAATATCAGATGAAAACTGCAAGAGGTAAGCAGCAAGAACTAAATGTTAAAATATTCAACTACTACCATATTTTCTATTACCTTCACAAGCAATTCAAGCATGTATAAAACACCAACTAAGCACTGCAATCCATAACGAAATTATTGGCATCAACTCCTGATACCCAGAAAATAAGAACAAAGACAAATAATTGCAAGCATCATCAGCAAGTACGGAACACACTATCATAAAAGTTCCAAAAACCTTACAGCCATCTTATGTTCACAAAATTTAAAAGATCAGCATTTCACCCAACATTTCCTCCATTTCAATCTCCTAATAGTACTTATCCAAGCTCAAAGACAGTCAAAATGGCCAAATTGCACATAGCAACAGTGTAACTGTAGTTTTAGTACTGGCAAGAATGCTATTATTCACATTAGCATTGAGAGACTTTATGGAGACTGATCTTTCCAATGCATAATAAGTATAACCGAGTGTTAAATTGCTTATAGCATCCAACAAAACGTATACCCCACAAATGGTGTAAAGTACTGAATTTAACCAAGTTCCAAGTTGTACTATATTTATCACCTTGACTATATTACATTACAAGTCATCCATAATTGAATAAAGAATACAAGCACTATCAAATTCCATGAACCTTAATAAAAACATTTAAGATAGAAAAAAAATCCTTACCATTTGGAATATCTTTAAGCTGTGTACCGCGACCCTGAAGCAACACATAATTAAAAAAATTCAAAACACAGAAACAAGAAAATGGAGAAAACAACTAATAAAACCTTAACCCAAAAAAAAAAAATACCTTTTCAATTGACAAAGGTTTGCCAGATGAAGACCTGGCAACGGAAGGAGCTGAATATCTCTCCACCACTTTCCTTTCCCTCGTAGGCCTATCGCTACTCGGCGTCACAGGCCCTTTCTTCTCGGCCGATTCCTGACTCGCTTTCTTGTTTTCAGACGATTGTCGACTCGGTTTCTTAGACTCAGTTGGCTCCTTCCTGGAGCTTCGCTTTCGACTACTCCCTTTCGATTTCTTACTCCCTTCCTCTTCCTTCACTTCTTCCTCCTTAGTCTCCTCAGCTTTCTCTTCTTTCTCCTCTTTTTTCTCTTCCTCTTTTTCCTCCTCTTTTTCTCCCTCTTGGTCGTCAAGTTCCTTCTTTTCCTCCCTTTCCCGAGAAACTTGTTTGTCGAAAACCTCCTTGCTTTCCTCCTCTTTTTCTTCCTCTTTCTCTTTGTCTTCCTTAACCTCCTCTTTAGCGTTAACTGGAGCAGCCTCCTCCTCCTCCTCCTCTGGTTTCTTCTCTTCTAGGGTTTCCGTCGCCATAGAAACCACCAATCAAACAGCAAAAGTCAGTTTTTTTTCCCTAAACCCTAAAATTGAAGGGAACCCTAGAAGATCGAGAGAGTAGAAAGAGTAGAGTAAAGAGTAAGAGAGCAGCTCTGTGCAACCAAAAAAAACACGTCTTTGATGTTTTGACTTTTTTGGGGGCGGGGGGAGAGAGAGAGAGATTGGAATTGGGGAATTTGGGGGGCAAATTTGAGATAAGCAAAACTTTTCCTAGGGCGCGGGAGGGAGGTGAGGGGAGAAGAAGGGGGAGGAACGAGCGGGCAACAAAAAAATAATTTTGGGGGAGAGCGGGATTTGTTTTTTCCTTTTTCTTTTACCATGCCATTTGCATCGCGGCAAAACCTGAAATTTTGTGGAGCCAAAAACGAATCCGCATTTTTACGATTTCCCTTGCTGCTGCTACTGCCTACATTCACCCACTTGCTGTGCCTGCTGTGCACTTGACACCTGTCACTTTTTATTCTTTTACCCTGTAAGGAGTAAAGTAAAACTGTAAAAAGTAAAACAGACAATTAATTTCCTTTTCTGTAAACACGAAACAACATTTGCGGTCCAGACTTCTGCAAATTGTTTAGCTTATGTGATCAACTTACAAATCCTTTCGCAAATCTTGCTTGGTATGCTACAGTTTTCAAAGCGTAAAACTCCTTCATATCTTGGCGCTTTGCGTATTCAAGAATTCAAAGACGGATACATAAGAAAAGCTGTATGCTTATAAATTGTTTGGCTTTGTCTTTTTTAATTTAAAATTTATTATAAATTTTGTATAAAAAATAATACCATTCCCCCTTTATTACTTTCACATTTTTATTCCGTTGTTTAGTTGCATTTTACAAGAATGGCTGTTCCCTAAAAAAAAAAAGGCTTAACCATTCCTCTTCCTCCCCTTATTATTAGCCATTCCATGCGATGAAATAGGGAAAAAATATAATTGGATGAAAATATCCCTATTTAATATATTTTCTTTCTTTTCTTTTCTCTCTTATTGATGTTTGATAAAAATAAAAATTAAAAGGTTAAAAAATGAAAAGTAGGAATAGAGAGAAATATTCAAATAATTAAAATTAAAAATTATATAATTAATTTGAAAACAAATTATTTAATAATTTAATAACAAATTAAAATATTAATCACTTATATTAATAATTTAATAATAAATTATTGATGTTTAATGAAAATAGAATTTATTTTTATTTTTTATGAAAATAAATTTTATTATAATAAAAAATAATTTTATCATTTTATCATTTATTCATTGATTATTCTAAAGTTATTCCCACCAACCAAACTTTAAAATAAGGCATAATAATAATTCCTATCCTATTCCATTCCATCAACCCAATTACTTAATAATAATTATATTTTATTCCTTCTTTATTATATTTACACATAATAAATCAAAGCAGAATAAATTTATTTTAAATTTATACTTGATTTTAAATGTTAAAATCAAAAAAATCTACATAAGTCTTTTTTTCATATAAAAATGAAATAGCTTTACGACTTTATATAATAATAATATTATTATATTTTTATTAATTTAGCAAGCAATTAAACTATAATATTTCAATTTTCAAAGAAAGAAATGACAAGAAGGAATAATATGTTTGACATTAAAATCTTTTTTAGTAACAATGAGAAAAAATTTTAAATAATACTTAAATGTAACTTCGAATTTCAATTTTTTTTTAATTTTTGTAAGAACAAAAAAAATCACAGATTTTATTATTTTGCTGTTAAGTTTTTGTTTTTTTTTTATTTTTTAGTAATTAAAAAAAAAGAGTCTAGGAAGAAGAAATCACAATTTACCTTGAAAAATGGTGATTTGTAGAAGGAGAAAGAGGGAGATCGATTGAAATAGAGAATAATATTTTTTGAAAATTTGACTTATTTTAAAAAGAACGTTTGTCTCCATCTATAAGTTTTTTTTAAAATTTTGTTCTTTAAAAATACTGATATTTTTAAAAACTCCACAATTTTATTGGACTTACCTTCTATTTTAAGATATAAATAAATTTTAAAAAAAATATAGGCGCTTAACACAAAATTGGCTCAGGCTTCTCAAGCTGGATTGGGGGTTCTGGACCTGACCATTGAGAAATTTAATCTGAACCTATAAAGCCTCTTGTTCTGTAGACGACCCAACCCAACCCAACTCTATTCAAGCTGGGTCTTGGGTCCAAGCTTTCTTTTCCACATTTTAAACAATTTAATTGAAATACTTTAAAAATAAAAAATCTCTTTTTATCTTTTCAAATTCAATTTGACTCTTTGTATATTTTGAAATTTTCATTTAAGATCGTTTAGTAATCGTATAATAACTTAAATATTTTTCTATGTAAAACATTGTGGTCAAAAATATAATTTTTTTGTTATTTTGTGTTGTCAGACTTCATGCCAACTCACAAATTAAAATTTTAATATTTATTATATGTTACGATTTCAAAAAAAAAAAAAGCATTGGCACATGACAATCACATCACAAGCTTCGACTTATTCTTCCCTACTTACGAATATACTATTGACAAATAATATTATAAGAACCTGGTAGCTGTCGCCCACTCATTCACTCTCGCCATTCCTCTTTTTGAATTGGAATGTGAAAGAATGACATTGTGACCGATTAAACCCCCATTATGCATATAATATTGACGAATATAAAATCCAAAGTTTTATTCCAAAAGCATCAATACATCACTTTTAAGTGGTGTAAATAAATTAAATTAGCTTAAAAAAGTTGATGATTGTTGCAAGATAAGATAGACTTGTATCTCTCGTAAAAAGATTAAGGTATAATATCTACAAAAAATTTTAAATTATTTTAAAATTTTAAATAAATTTTTATTATTTTATTACATTTAAAAAAATTAAATATTTTTATTATTCAAATCGATGTTACTTGATATTTGAATTTACAAAAAAGTAAGAAAAATAAAACACAAGAAAATAGTTTGTGAAATGGAATAAAGTAGGAACGAAATAATCATTTTGTAAAAATAAAATAAGAGATAAATAGTTATTATGTAATTTTTTTTTAAATCAATTATTATATAATTTGGTTGATGAGAATGGAATAGGATAGAATTTATTATTATAAATTATTTTAATATTTAGTTGGTAAGAATTTAAATATTAATATTATTATTTTATTTTAAATTTAATTTTAAAAATTTTTAAAAATATTTAAAATTTAAATTTAAAATATTATTTTTTTATAATTTATAATTAAAACTCAAACTTTTTTATTTAAATTTATTTTATTTTTTTCTTTCTTGTCGGTCAATTATTGGAGATGTGATTGACATGAAGTAGCACCAATATGTACTCACGGTCGAATTTGACGCTTTTAGGTCCCGATTTAGCTGAGGAGCTTCGGATTGGCGGTTCTTGCGACCTACTCTGGCTATGAAAGCATGATTCCACTTGTCACCGCCATCGTCCTTTGCAGTGGAGGAAATTTAGCAAGAAAAAGGGGGAGGCAATTGGGTAGAAAGAGTACAAAATTGTGAAAAATAAATAAATTATATTTTATATTATTATTTTTAAAATTAATAAAAGATATTTTTATCTATTAATATATTTAATCTATTCCTTATCTCTCAAAATAGCCATTATTGTCAATGACCATTCCTCGTAGCCAAATAAAGTTTTAAAGAAGTTTTTAAAAAATGACTATGGATAAAGGGAATGGAACTAAGCATGCTGTTAGTATCATTAGCTATGCAAATAGAACTCAATCTAGGATCTTAACATTGTGGGTGAAGGTCAGAAAATAATTTTTATTCATTAAAACAACTCATCACATTGAAGCTTAAATCGCTAATGGATTAAAAACAACACAAGTTTACGTAGTTTTTTATATTTAAATAATACAGAGACATGTAATATCTCGGCAATATTGGAAAAATAACAAACACAAAATTATTATTTCATGAAAATATAATAATTCAATGCTACATTGTTTGAAAAGTTTATGTACTATTTAAAAAAAATTTTATTCGCCTATTGAGTTTAATTAAGTTTTTATTTTTTTATTTTGAATGAAATAAATTTTTAGAATTAATTATTAATTAATTATCATTAATCAAAATATCACTTGATATTTTATATTCACGTAACGTTGATGTAAAATATAAAAAATGCTACATCATTATACCATCACTTCATATCAGCATATTATATTATATTTTATTATTACACGTTAGAATTTCGTGTCAACATTACGTGATATAAAATGACAAGTAATATTTTAATTAATAAAAATTAATCAATCATTAATCATAAGAGTTTGTTTAATTTAAAATAAAATATAAAAATTTAATTGAATGTAATAAAAGATTAAGAATTTATTTAAAATTATTAAATGTGGACTCTGGATTTCTACTTAAAAATTCAGGGAGAAAAGCAATATGGAGTAAAAACGATTTAGTGAAGAACTGGGCCCCCCCAGACTGGAGCTAAAGCCCAATTTCATGTTGCTCATTGGTCAAGCCCAAGCAGCTCAAATGCCCGTGAGCGATAAGAAAAAGGGCCAGTAATGTATAGCTACCCACTCTCTTATATAAACCCTAGTTGTTTCGCCTTTGCTTCTTCGTTTTTCCTAGGGTTTTCCTCCGCCGTTTCTCAGTTAACCACAAAGCTTGGAAGAGGCTTCAGGAGGCGCAGAAAATGGTACATCCGAAAACCGCATTCCAGATTTTCTTCTTCTGTTGATGTGTATCTAGGCATTTGTCTCCTTTCAAACTGTCCCTAAAACTGGGCTTTCAATTCACTAAACTTTTTGTTTGTGTTATTTTTGTGTCCTTTGTAGTTTACTTGGTTTAGTTGGAGTAATATTGTATGAAATCTAGCTAGAGAATTAGAACCTAAGAAACTTTGCTAGATGATGTCTGTAAATTACTAGGCGAAAATTGATTTATTTTGTCAGGATACCTTTCAGTAGAAATGATCAGAAGCATGGCGGCTATTGTCGTAATGTAGTGAACAGTGATTACATTGAAAGATTATCGTAATTTTTAGTTTAGCTAAAAGAACTAATGTTTGTGTTGCTGAAAGAGTTTTAAAGAAGCTTTGGGAGTTTTGGTCCTTCGAAGGAAATTGTCCCTGTAGATAACGAGTTCCCAAAATAGAACTGGAGAAGTTGATTTGTTATAATTTCATATATTTAGTGACTACTGATTTAACTTTTGTGTGAACCTAGTGACTGGATTGATGAAATTGTTTAAAAGGGTTTATCTTTTTGTTTTTTATTCACTTTGTTGTTCAATGCAGGGCCCAAAGAGAGGTGGAAAGGTGGCTGCACCTGCCAAGAAGAAACAAGTAATTTTCATTACTTTCTTAATCACCTGAACCCATCAAATAAGTTTGTTGTGGTCTCACTACCTGTTTATCCTTTTGATTTTGGAAATTAGGAGAAGGTTGTCAATCCATTGTTTGAAAAGCGTCCAAAGCAGTTTGGTATTGGGGGGGCTTTACCTCCTAAGAAGGATCTGCACCGATTTGTGAAGTGGCCTAAGGCTGTTCGCATTCAAAGGAAGAAGAGGATCCTTAAGCAAAGGTTGAAGGTCCCACCAGCTTTGAACCAGTTTACCAAGACCCTTGATAAGAACCTTGGTATGCCTTGAAATCTTTGCATACTTGTTTCTACATATGTATTGAGGATTCGCAAAATATATTTTGAGCAAATTATAAATTGCTCAAGGGTTATTTTGTCTACCGTTTGATTAGTGGTTGTTGTTTTGGTTAAATAGCACATTATGTGTGAGAATGGAATCTATCAGATTTCTATCTTGCCATTTTTGCGTTTGTTCCTGTTAACTTAGCATAGGTGTTTGCTGTATTATTATGATTGAGGAATTGAATTTTTTAATCGAATATGCTATTGTAAATGTAAAACTTATTTTGTGTTTTTTCTCCTATTAATTAGTCTAGTTGAAAACTAAAATAGGAATAATTGTAATTGTGAACATGGGGGACTGCTAAAAGAATTGCCACATTGAAGACATGGTAAAGTTGACTTGCTGAAGTTTGTAGTTGGTTGTGGGAGATAAGGTAATTATGTAACCTATAATTTGATTGTTCAAGTGTTGTGTCAACTCAAAATATTAAAGAAAGGGGTTTTGACTGCTTAATGGTTTGTCCAAATTATGTTCTAATTCTATAATTTCATTGTTTTTATACTGCAGCATTTATTATCATATCTGGTGGTATCCTGCATTCCTTGTTGCATTTTCCATCTTTGTTTTATTTATACTACCTCTCTTGCTACAAAACTCCATTTCTGTTCATAGTAATTCGAATTACAGCTTGGTTAGTTAATTTCCTATTGCAGCAACAAGTCTGTTCAAGTTGCTCCTCAAGTACAGGCCAGAGGACAAGGCAGCCAAGAAGGAACGCCTCCTTAAAAAGGCTCAGGCTGAGGCTGAAGGAAAAGCTCCTGAGTCGAAGAAACCAATTGTTGTGAAATATGGACTTAATCATGTTACCTACCTTATTGAGCAGGTTGCCTTTTAGATTCTCCAGATTCATCAGTTAAGCCAGTGTGGTTCTGTGCATTATGTTTATTGGAAAGTTGTTACAAGTAATGGGTTTTTCGCTATGTCCGCTGCAGAACAAGGCACAATTAGTTGTTATTGCTCATGATGTGGATCCCATAGAGTTGGTAGTGTGGCTCCCTGCTTTGTGCAGAAAGATGGAGGTCCCCTACTGCATTGTCAAGGGGAAATCTCGTTTAGGATCGGTAGTTGTCTTTCAGATATTTATGCTTTTCTGCCAATTATAGAGTTAAGCAAGAAGGTTACTTATTTGTGTTTACACTACTGCAGATTGTCCACAAGAAAACTGCTGCTGTCTTGTGCTTGACCACAGTTAAGAATGAGGATAAGTTGGAGTTCAGCAAAATCCTTGAGGCCATCAAGGTAAAAATTACATCTGCAATTTTTTTTTTTGTAGTTAATTTCTGTTAAAATTATACATCATCTGATTAACTTTAACTTATGTTGCAGGCTAACTTCAACGATAAGTATGATGAGTACAGGAAGAAGTGGGGAGGTGGTATCATGGGCTCCAAGTCACAGGCCAGAACCAAGGCAAAGGAGAAGCTTCTTGCAAAGGAAGCTGCACAGAGGATGACTTAGGAAAACCATTGTTTCCGTCCAGAGGCATCTTTAGTTGTGGTTTTTTTGTTATATTATCTTGTTTGATTAAAATTGTCCTGTGTAGTCAGCTGCAAAAACTTTTGACTCGTTTCACTATTTTCCAGAGGAATATTTATATCTTTTCTAGTTGAACTTTTAAAAATACTACCTTGTAGCTGCTGTTTGTGGTGAAATTCTGTGCCTTTGTAATGAATTTATATCAATGATGAGCGTCATTTTTACTACCGACGTTTAAAGATAGATTACATGGTGACTGCCGTGTGGTTGCTTAAATAAACAATTTCTACATTTACAGCGGAACGGTATTTCTTGTTCTCTTATTTTTAAATTTTTACCAATAATTTGTATGCTTAAGGAATTGCTATTCTTTGGAATGGTTATTTTTGAAAAAATCTAAAATTACTATGAAATTTGATTTATGAAATGAAATAGTATAGGAATTGTAATTATAATTCAAGTGTTTTAATTTTTGCAAAAGTAATTTTTAATATAATAAATTTTTATTTAAATATATGTATGATTTATTTAAATATTTATATTTTGAAGTTTTTTTTAATCTAATCTTTTAATATTTTAATTTTTTTAATTTAATTTTTATATTTTAAATTTTTATTTAATTTAATTTTTATGATGTGAGTTTTGTTTTTTTAGAAAAAAAGAGCCACGGAAGTGTTAACACATTTTCTAATGGCTTAAATTAGAAAAACTTTTAAAATTAAAAAATTAAATTATTTTAATTTTAAATGCATAGATTAAATTAAACAAAATATATATGAATGTAAAAACTTGATGGGTTGATTGGAATTTAGACCGCCAAACAATCCCAAGCTGAATTTAAAGCTTCTCTCGTCTTTCGTATCATCAAAATAGTCAGGCAATATTGAATGTAATTTTTGACCAACAGTTACTTCTCACTGAATAATAGCAGCCCAATGTTTTCCACTCTCCCGCACGCCAAAAGATATAATTCTTTTTCACTCTTCAGTACTACTACTACAGTAGTATTTAATTTCTTGATGAAATAATCTTCAATAAATGGTGACATTGAAAATGAAGTGCAACTTTTTTAGCGTTAGAGAGAAAGAATGGAAAGAAGTTACCTTAATCTTATTGCCATGAGAATGCTTCTTGAATACTTTTTTCTCTGTTCCCTCATTTACTTCCGTCAACCATGATCACCAAAATTTTCTAATCAACAATGGTGTTCATACTGTCAAATTCAAAATTATTACCTATTGTATAACTCATTAGCATCAAATCAGATCTTGAATAATCTCTCAAATCATGCCAAAAACACCGCCTGCCCTTTATAAACAGAAACCATGCGCTAAGCCTTTTCCCCTTTCCACCCTTCAACCACACTCTTCTTCGATCGATCATTTTTTTTTAACTCCCATTAGGCATGGCCATGGCTTCTCCAAATGAGAGCCCAAAACGAGGCTACCCTTGTCCTGGCGATAACCTAGCAGACCCTGATCGACTCCGAAGTCCGAGGTTTGCTTTCAATGTCCCTCCCTCTTCACCAAGCTTCCACTACCAGGACCGGCCGCTTACTCCCCCACCCATGTTTCGAAATGCAGTGCTGAGAGAGCATCGAAGGCGACATTTCCAGAATAATAATTACACTGCAAACAGCACCACCACCACTACTTCTTCCCATGCAAAAGTCCAAATTTGTTTGATTGGTGCCGTTATGTTTTTCTCCATTCTTACCGTTATTGGTATCCCAATCATGTTGTTCTATGTTTTTGGACCACATTCTCCTTCCTTCTCTGTTGAACAAGTTTCCTTTTACTACCCTATATTTTACAGCTCCCCTACTAGGTTCTCGTCCTTGTTTAATATCACCATGAAGGTGAACAATCCCGCCAGGCACATCGGTGTTTTCTTTGAACGTGATAACTCCATTGTTGCTAGTTATTATGGCATTCGCTTGTGCAGCGGTGAGATTCCACCTTTCTTCCAACCACCCAAGGACGAGATGTTGGTGCAATCTCCCTTGACGGGTCTTGGGGTGGTTTTGCCGGATGATGTAAACCAGAAACTGGAAAATGATCATAAAAAAGAAAGGGTGCCACTGACTCTGAGTATGATGGGCATGGTCAGGTTTAAGATGGGTTCTGTCACGTCAAGAGCTTTGCTAAAGGTCTCTTGTGAGATGGTTTTGGACAACTTGATGACTTACACTCCCAATATCATTTCTAGTAGTTGTGATTCTGCTGCAGGATTTTGGTTTCCTACTATTAGAAACTAGTTCTAGTTGCTGAGCATTTACATGGAGGGTTAAGGTGGCAATAAATAGTGCTGGAAAGTAACTACTGCTATTATTTATTATTTGGTAATTCAGTCGTTTATTAGAATTATTTTTCAATTGTAGCTATTTTTATTAATCAAACAACTGCTTTTGTTGATCATGAAACGAGTGGTTTTAACACTCATTTTATAATAATCAAATAGTGTTGGAATTAATTGTTTCTATAGCAGTTCCTTTTCTGTATAGAGTTATTTCATTAAGCAGTGCTCGGCTCTTCAAAAGTTGGGTTTGAATCTTCTTAGATTCATACCTTGATAGAACAAAGGGTTTCTTTGATTATGTCCTAAGCAATTGTAAATAGTAAATTGTTCAATTCAATTTGAGAGTAAGATCATTCATTCATACTACGTCCACCTACAAGCCGGCTACCATCTCAAAAAAATCACAAGCGCTTGCAGATTGTTAACAAAAGGTTCATGAACACAAACAATTGAACTAAAATTTGATGCACTTGTGATTCTATGAACCTAAATTTATTCTTTCAAGGTTATAGCAATCTTTTCCAACATGTCATATATCTCTTCCGAACAGGGGTGCCTACCATCACCAGCCATGAATTCATGGACAATATTATCCACTTCAATTAAACTATGGCCGGGGTTCCTAACAATCTGTTTATCTTTCAGAACCTTTCTAATCCTAGCTACATCATCCCAACGGTTCTTTGCAGCATAAATATTCGATATGAGAACATAGTTTCCATCATTAAACGGTTCCAGTACCATCAGCTGTTCCATTGCAGCCTCAGCTAGCTCAATATTGGCAGTAGCAGTACAGGCATTCAGCAAGGTTCCCCACAAAACCCCGTTAGGCTCCATTGGCATGTTTATTATAATCTCATAAGCCTCATTCAAGAGTCCTGCCCTGCATAAAAGGTCCACAAAGCATCCATAATGCTTGATGGTAGGCTCAATCTCATAGTCCTTTCTCATTGAGTGAAAAATCTCCTTCCCTTTCACCACCAACCCTGAATGACTACAAGCAGACAAAACCGCAATTAACGTGATCCCATCTGGTTTTATTCCGTACCCTTGCATCCCCATAAATCGGTCAATCGCTTCAATGCCAAAACCATGCATTGCAAGTCCCCCGATCATAGCATTCCAAACATAGACACCTTTACAGGGCAGAGTCTGAAAAACTTGAGAAGCCTTGTCAATGTGACCACATTTAGCATACATGTCAATGAGAGCAGCACCAAGCTTTGGATTCAAAAATATTTTCTTCCTATCGGTATATTCATGCACCCATTTGCCTATTTCCAAGGCTCCCAAATTAGCACAAGCTGAGAGTACACAAACCAAAGTCAATTCATTTATTTCAACCCCAGAATTCTTCATTTGGTAAAACAATTCAATCCCTTCTTTATACCTCTTTTGCATCACATAACCTTTTATAATCCCAGTCCAAGTAACCACATTTTTCTCAGGCATCCTATCAAACACCAACCGGGCAGATTCAACATCACCGAAAGAACAATAAAACGTTATCAAAGAGGTTAAAAAATAAATCCCTGAGCTAAATCTTTCGTTTTTGACAACCAGGGAGTGGATTCCTTTTCCTTGTTTAAGACCATTGCAAGCCTTCAAAAGATATGGGTAAGTAAAATTATCCGGGTTAAGGCCCTGGTATCTCATTTGGATATAAAGGTCAATTCCTTTATCGCCCAAATTATTTGTTCCGTAGCCTTTTATCATGGTGTTGAACGCAAATGTGGAGGGCTCGGTTATTTGGTCGAGAACTAGGCGGGCGTAGGGGAGATGGGCAGAGCCAGCCAAGGCTTGGATTAGTTTGGAAAGGTGAGTGTCGGCTTGGTGAAGTGGGGTTTTGATGATATGGGCGTGGACTTGCTTGAATTGGATTAAATGGGTGCATTTCTTGAGGATTTGAAGATGGTTGGGTTCATTAGAGGTGAGATTTTCTGGTGGTTTTGAATCTTTCGATGGGGCGACAAGGTGAGTAGTAAGCTGACGGTCAGAAGCCGAAACCTTGAGCATCTGGGCATTGGGAGAATGGCCAGTTGAAGCAGTAGCTCAAGAAGAGTTTTTGACTTTCTACAACTTATCAAGAAAACCTTGCCTGGAGCCTGGTCGTCCTGGAAAATTGGGCTTGACATTTTAACCAAGCCCAGTTATCCGAAATTCCATGTCCGAGGCCCAGTTGTTCAAATTTCAAAACCGATTTCACACGTCTTCTCTCCCGTGCTTTTAATCAAACCATTACATAATAAATTTAGATATACTGATCAAGTAAATCTTTAAATTATTTAAAAAATTTTAAGTAAATTTTTATTTTTATTATATTTAATTAAATTTATATTTTTATTTTTAATTAAATAATTTTTTATAATTAATAATTAATTAAAATTACTTATCATTTTACATCCACATAACACTAATATGATATCGATGTGATGAATAAAAAATATTACATAATCATATTATCATATTAAATTATTATATTATATCATTATTAATTATAACATCTCAACACACCATATTAACATCGATTATAATATATTAACATAACAATATAGATGATATTTTAATTAAATTAATTATTAATTATAAAAATTTATTTGATTTAAAATAAAAATATTATAATTTGTTAAAAATATAATAAAAATATAAAAATATAATAATTTATTTAATTTATTTTTAAATATCATGTCGTATTGTTGCAAGAAAAGCAATGTATTATAACCCCGTATCCTTTTAATCAATTTTTACTTTTATACCGTTGAGTACGTATAGTCGGTGTAAAGGCAAAAACACAAGATAGGATATATGCGGCCTTCAGAATACGATACCTACTCCGCAGGCGAGATTCTCATTGGTCAGTGACTTGAATGCGTCCGTTCCTTAGTCCCAATAGCAATCCCATTTTGCCCGGCATTAACATAGCAAATCCTGAATCGGACCCAAAACGACAAAAATCCAAACTCGCCAAGGACCCGGGAATGGAGAACAACACTCGCCACGATCCGAATCCGGAGTCAACTCGACCCGAAGAACCAGAGCTCGACCTCTACACCATCCCAAGCTATTCCAGTAAGTTTCTCCTTAATTAATTAATTCTCTTCCCGAACCCAAAAAAATAGAAAAAGAACCCCAATTCCAATCCCCCTCCTTTTTTTTTTTTTTCTTTTTCTCATTAATTTCCTTTTCTTCGTAGGTTGGTTTGCTTGGAACGATATCCACGAAACAGAGAGGCAAGCATTGAAAGAATTCTTCGAAGGAAGCTCAATCTCACGAACCCCCAAAATCTACAAAGAGTACAGAGATTTCATCATCAACAAATACAGGGAAGACCCTTCGCGGCGCCTTACTTTCACCGAAATCCGTAAATCCCTCGTCGGTGACGTCACCTTGCTACACAAGGTCTTCCTCTTCTTGGAAACCTGGGGTTTGATCAACTTCGTCGCCCCGCCGCGACCGCGCGAAGGTTCAGAAAAGGATGATACGGTTCGGGTCGAAGGCGGGGCTCCGAATGGGGTGCGGGTCGTGGCCACTCCCAATTCGTTGCGGCCGCTATCTGCGCCGGTTGTTAAAGGGAAGAGCAGTGATGGTGGGGCTGGGGAGGGTGGACTCAAGTTGCCGCCTCTGGCTTCGTTTTCGGATGTTTTTGGTGATTTGAAGCGGCTACGTTGTGGTAACTGTGGAGATGATTGTGGTTCTGAATACTATGAATATATTAAGGTAGTTGTTTCTTCTTCTTTTATCTTTAATGATTGTTTTCGTGTTTAATTTTAGCTTGGAATTGTTTAATGTTTGAATTATCACAATGAATAATGCTATGCTTTTGGGAATTTTGTCTTTAGAATTAAATATATGGGTTCTCCAAGCAAATGGTTTTCTATGCATGATACATATTTCTTGTTCTAATGCTCGACTTTATCAAGCTTTTGTTAGTTGGATTAATTAGCTGGAAAAAGATATTTTAATTAGCTGTACAAAACTTAAAGCATGTAGTTGACTTGATCTGCTGCCGAGTTGGGTGATACATGCAGTTTAAATGTATCCTACACTTGGAAATGGTTACCCATAACTTTTGCATCTCCAAGCAATAGAACCATGCTGCTTAGTAAGATTAATTACCTTCTTTAAAAGGGTTTTATCTATCCTTTTATTTTGGTTTTGTTTTGCCCTTTGTGTTTTTTAGTAAATCACTAAGTATCACATCTGCAGGATCATTTCATTGTTTGTGTCAAATGCTTCAAAAGTGGAAATTATGGAGAGAATAAATCTATGGATGATTTCAACTTGAAAAACGGCAGTGGGAACAGTGCTACCAATGGAGATGTGTGGACTGAAGCAGAAACTCTTCTTCTTTTAGAATCTGTTTTGAAACATGGGGATGACTGGGATCTTGTTGCTCAAGATGTTCAAACCAAGTCTAAACTTGATTGTATTACAAAGCTCATTGAGCTGCCTTTTGGGGAGTCTTTGATAGATTCTGTCAATGGAAGGGCCAATTCCAGTGGCCCCAGGATGAACATGAATAGTGTAAAACCAGTTCCTGTTCCATCTGAGCATCAAGAGAATATTAGAAACGAGGATCAAGGGCCAAATCTAGGTCACGACAGCACACATGAGAATGAACAGAATGGGGATTCTGAGAATGAAGAGCCTCCTTTGAAGAAAAAACGCACTACTTCCATTTCTGATGCTGAGAGTTCTCTCATGAAGCAGGTAAGACCGTAAGAGTCTTAGGAATTAGGATCTTAATTTTTAAAAATTCGTAGCGGGCTGTCTTCCTAATATATGATGCCTTCCTTCGATCTGACTTTATACTTTTGTCATCAATTGTAAGTTTGTGGCATGCGTAAGCGGCACACAACTACTTTCAGTAATTCATAATTACTAGTTCTGAAGCATTCTTCAACAATTTTTGTGATTGTTATGAAGTGAATTTTGATATACAGTGCATTCCCACTATTTATCACAGTATTGAATTTTTTGCTATAGGTTGCTCTGATCTCAACCATGGTTGGGCCGCAAATCACTGCGGCTGCAGCTGAGGCTGCAGTTGTAGTACTTTCTGAGGAAATGGCATGTCCAAGGGAAATATTTGATGGTGATGAGATTAACTTAACTAATGGGTTGCTGTCTCCTACTTCGATTGGTCAGCGAGAAAGGTTGTTTTAAAGTTAATACTAACTGTTATGCTTATATTGCTTTCCTTATGGTCCTAAATTTCGTCTTTAGCTTTTGCATTATTTTGATGGTTTTTGAAGCTTTCTTTCTCATATATGTTTTAGAGCCTATCATGATGAAGAGTCAGAGATGAAGGAGAGGGCCAGTCCATCAGGTACATATACACTTAGGTACAGTTATGCAAAATAATTTGTGCATTTGGCTTTTTTGATGCAGGTACCAAATTATGGGATTAAAACTAGATGGTATTCATGTGGCTTCTGCTGAATTCTTGGCCAGCTATTTCTGTTTGATATCTTAATGAGTTTTCATTTGGTTTATCACTTGAGCATGTAAACATCAGATAGTTGGTATTTCCATGGTTTTGATGTGTATTTCCTATTTGATAATTTGCTTGTTTATAGTTGGGGTCTTTCATTGCTAATCATCATATACTCTTGCAGAAACTCAAGAGACATCTCCCAAGAAGAATGATGTGCCTCTACCTTTGCGAATTAGAGCAGCAGTTGCGACTGGTCTGGGAGCTGCTGCTGCTCATGCAAAATTATTGGCTGAGCATGAAGAGAGGGAGATTGAACATTTAGTTGCAACCATAATCGAGGCACAAGTGGGTTGAAGTTATCTATTTCAGTTTCGGAGTCTACTTTGTTTATTATGAAGCTATTCATTTTATCCGTAACAAGTGCCTAATGTTTTGTCATTTCCATGAATACAGTTAAAGAAATTGCACTCTAAAATCAAGCATTGTGAAGATGCAGAGCTGCTAATGAAGAAGGAATATGCTGCAATTGAGGATCTAAGAGAGTATATCGTAGGAGAGCGGATTAATATCTTACAAAGGACATTTAATACTGGTATACCTAAATTGCGAGTGCACACTTCTGTACAATGACAAACAGCCAACTTAAGTTAATGAGTTGTAGATCAATGTAAAGTAGCACAAAAGATGCGATTGACATCAAAATTTAGGATTTCAATGGATGCTTTATTATTATTATTATTATTATTTTAAGAACCTCCTTTAGATATCCATGTACTTACTTCTCTCTCCTTTATTTTTCCTAGTTGGAATTAGGTTTATTAAACAACAGCATTTGTAACATTAGTTGCTTATGTACCAATTGGAGTTTTAAGTGGAATCCATCGATTGATGGATAATTTGGTTTTAGAAATATTTATGAATAGTTATTGTTATTTATGTTAACAATGTTTTGTGAAAATATATAAATGATGGTAATTAATTTGAAGCTTGGATTCTTAAGTTCAAAATATATACTATGGGTTAGCATTATTGTTAACAATTGATTTATTATGATATTTTTAAAATTTTAATTTAGAATATATCAAACCTGTTAAGTATCAAGAGTATGATACACCTGCATGGTAAGGAATATCATTAACAATCAATGGTGACAGTTAAGTATTCTCAACAAAGAAGAACCATAAAACCTGTTCAAAATTGAATATATTTCAAGACATAATAAGGAATAAGATTGCAACATGGTGTGGAAATTAAATTGTTCTAAACTTTGTACACAGTTCATGCTACTTAATATGGCTTTCATTTTTTACATTATGTGTGCAAAAATTTGTACAACATTCTTTGGTTTTGTAAACCATCTTGTCTAAAACATTTGTCAATGTTCTTTGTCTAACATAAACAAAATAGCAAATGAGAAAGGAATTACTCCAAGGGCATTATGAATAATCATTGTTCCTATGTGTTTTGCTAAAACGTATATTTGCATTTTCCAGTCTTGAACGCTCAAATTCTGTACAAACTTTTCATTGAACAAGCAGATTGGATATAATCTTACCTGCTTTCATTTGTAAACCAAGTAACTTACATCAATTATGTACAATTTACATACAAAACCTCCATGGAACAGGAGCCAGCGCTTCCTTTTCCCCTTTTTTTTTTCTCTTTGTACTGTTGGAGGTGACGTCTTTTGTGTTTTTTCTCAAGGAAGCACTCCGCCGTTCCCTTCCAGAAACTATTAGGGAACAGAGATTATGAGCAAGATTTGATGAGTTTAAAGTTTTGGAAACTTCTTCCTTTAAACAAGCTCCCAAAGAGGAAACTTCCTGCTGTCTCCTTGGGATGTTTCGGAGATAGGAAGGAATTCCCTTTTACCTGAAGATTGGCTTGTCCTATCTGATGCTGGATCAAATCCACAGTTTTGGGATCAACAGGATTACCATTGACATCGGTGACAAAGAAAGTGTCTTTTGCTTTCCCATCCTTGGTGGATATTTCTGCTCTTCTGATGCACAAACCGTTTTCTCGAAATATCCTTGTAATATCTGAAAGGAGTCCAAACCGATCATCTGTAAAGAGTTCCAATTCCAGACCCTGTCAAAGAGCATTTGTCAATGAAAGTTTTCCATTTATATTACTAATTAAGAGCATGGAGCCTGATTTTGAGGTAATAAAATAAAGGGAAAAACGAAGAAACAAGCAAGGTAGTTAAAAAAGAAC